TTGTGCTGGGGCCAGTGTGCAGCCACAGGGGAACCCACTGTGGCAGAAGGAAAAGCATTAGAGCAGCTGAAATCCCTCCCTGCATGGTGTCTCCTGTGACTTTGATACCAGTGAACCTGGCTTATCCTCTCCTGCAACTCTGTGGTGAAGACAGCAGGGCACCAATTTGGCCCCTCCTTGCAATATCACTGTCGGAACAAAAGAAAAAGGTTCAGGATGAAAATAAAAGTGGATAACCCACCCCCAACAAGTCAAACAGGAGCCTCCCTGCACACCGACTGCTCCCTGGAGCCCAGACGCACCCAGGGGGGCGGAGGATGGCTCTGCCCCACCAGGCTGCCCAGGGGACGCCCGGCGAGGGGGACGGATGCACTGCTCAGCGGCAGATGGCAGCACCGGCCTGTCACACGCACCCAGCTGGGTGGCCTTGGAGGTGGCTGAGGGGACAGGCTGGTCGCTGGGCCCCCAAGCCTGCCACCACTACTCGTCTCCAATTCCTCCTTGCCAAGACAGACCTGCCCTCTGCCAGCAAAACTGGAAAGCTTTCCACGGCTGCTTCCTTACTAAAGCAGGCTTTTTCTTCTCTTTCCACAAGAACAGAGCTGGGTCAGCATCCCAGACTCAGCACCCTCCTAACTGCCCACAGCAACATGAATAACCCCATTCACCATCCCTGGGATTGCACGTATCCCCAGGATGGGATCCTCTTGCCATTTTGCCCCTTGACGCTTGTATGTTTGGGGTCTTTTTACTTGCTGCAAGATTCAAAGGCCCCCACAGATTGGGGCTCCTCTACTATAAGGGGATGACAGAGAAGGGATAGGGAAGAAATTGATTAAATTGGGAATGATCTTGTCCCCCGGTAAATGACACTGTACAAGGTGCAGTAGAAGAGCATCCTTTGCTACAAAGGTGTTACGGCAATCTGAGGTCTGAAAGCAGACTGGAGACATACTGCTTAGTAGCCTTTCTGCAGCAATGAAACACGCTGTGATCTGTTCCAGGAATCCCCTCTGGCACCAACTGCCAGGGCCAGACACGGCAGAGCCTGGGCATCTCCCTGGGCTGCCCTACGGTATTTAGGGGGAGGGGAGGATTCACTCTGTGCAGGCAACCCTACAATAACACAAGAGTGGCACAGCTCATTACCTCTGCAATAACAAGTATGAGAGGCACAGCTACCTGGGCAAACGTAAAATAACAAACAAATTGGACAAGGGAGCGAGGATTCCGTCAGAAAAACAGCACGGGGTGTCCAGTCCCCAGGACTTGTGATGCAACGAGTGTTTGCAGCAGCTCATCCTACTCATACAGTCAGCAGCTTCAGCCTCTGCAAACACCTTATTTCTCTGCTTCCTGCAAGCTGTCAGCTAGCCAGAGCAGCCTGGGAGCTGGGGCTGAACATGAAGCCCTTTTGGCAATAGGGGATGGGACCCACAGGAGCCCAGTGCTCTGCAGTGGGAGCTGAGGGCTGGAGTGCACTGAAAGCTGCCCAGCTCCCAGCCTGAATCCAGTGCTTCCTGCAGGGCCAAAAAAGCACCTGGAACTGACCCCCTTCACCCTTCCTGGCATGCACAGGTCCCTGTTCAAGTAGCGATAGAGATTCCTCTGTCTACTGCTCAGCAGTGGTGTCTAGTTTGGGTCTTTATTTCCCAGCAAGAACCCCATGGATGCCTTGGAGGGATCCCTTTCCTCTATCCTCTGATGTTTTTTATAGCCTCATTTCTTTCAGCAACAAGGCTGAAGCAGTCCCTGCTCATGCACTCGACTATCTGTTCCCTAATTTGATACTAACAAGACCATTTTGACAAACTGAAGGGCAGAGGTCTCTGACACATAAACTCCTGACAAGCCCTGGGCAGCTGGTGAGGGACCTTCCCGGTGCCAACAGGAGAGGGAAAGGCAGAGCCGGGGCAGGCAGCACACACAACCTCCCCCCCTTCACCTCCCAGCTGGCTCATCCACATCAACCTTCAGCTACCGGCTGCATCCGGCACAAGACACCCATGTCAGCATCTCCAGAGTCCCTGCACCCACCTGCCCATCCTCACCCACCAGCTCACTTGTCAACCTTCATCTGCCACCTCGGAGCTGGCTCGTGGCAGGCAGCCCTGGCACCACTGTCCCTTTGCTCCTGACAGAACAGCAGCAGGAGCAATGCCCAATTTCCCCGAATGAGCCCTAATTGTGCCTGGATTTCCTCCTCCCTTGCTGTCAGGATGTGGCCCACTGCACAGCCCCTTCCTGCCTACTCCTATCCACCTTGCCAACCTGGTGATTAGATTTCTGGCTGGCAGCTGTTTGCAGAGGCAGAGCATGCTACATCTCCATATTTCAACTATGGGCACAAGGCAAGAAGGCCCTACTCACCACGTCCCCAGTCAGAGGACAGCAGGAAGAAGGAGGTGGTTGGCCCTCACATCTCCATCCCTTCTTCCCACTCCTTAGGAGGAGATGACCTCTCAGCAGAGGTCCCAGACTCACCGGCCACACAGAAGAATGACATTGCTGGCCAAGCTAAGGATGCCTGGCTAGCCTGGAGGTGAGACCTGGGCAGTAGCCACCTCAAGGGATGTTGAGCCTACAACCAAGGCAGAAGACTGAACTCAACTCAGAGCCACCCCATGGCTTCGTGTCTGGTCTGATGATGCAGTGCCCATGGACAACCCAGGGGAAGAGGGGTGAGCATCTGGAGATGGTCTCGACACAAGTTAGGGCAGAAGGAATGTGTTGTTGATGTCCTAATTCATGCAGGCTCCCATGAGTTCTGAGAGGCAGAAAATATCCATAGCAGAGCATGGGCCCCGGGTCTGAGGGCTTAGTGCCGTCTCCCAACTCCAGGCTGGCCAGAGGGAGCTGCCTAGCAGGAGCCGTTTCCAACCATTTCACCCTGCCCCCACAGAAGGGACATGGGACTAGTACAATACCAGGCAGAGCTGCAAATCGCTCCTGTCCAACTGCCTGCTGCTCCTGACAGGCATCACCCAGAGCAGCCAGTGCACCTTCCTGCACCTGGGCAAAAACCCAGCCTGGGTGCTTCAGTGCTCCAGACGTTTTGGACAGGGGTGGGTGTGTGTGTACATGTGTGGGTGCGGGGTGTATGGGAACACCACCTCCCTGCTTGCTGACATTACAGAGAGGAGCAGGAAGCTTGTTCCAAATGGGTAGGAGGCTTGAATTTTCGTAATACGTTTTCATCAGTTTCTGGCAGGAAGGTAGGAAAAGTATCTATTGACTGCTGCTGCTAATGATCCGTGCTCGTTACATCCACAGCCCACTGCTAGAGGACTTGCTGTCCTGTTCCAACACCCAAAAAAAAGCCACATGCACCTAAGAAGGACAAGTTTACAACCACAGCACAACCTTGCTAAACAACCTTCTTGATTACTCTAATGATTATTATTATTATTTATAGCATGAGCACTAATATAGTAGACCACCTAAGCAGGAAGGTGATGGAGAAAGACTTAACGGGGATCTCGGTTAAACCTCTAGCTTCAGAACGACAGCAAACCTCACTGGTGGACACCTTGAGAATGCCCAGTTCCTCCTCTGCCCCCAAACTCGTCCATCTCCGTTCAGAGCTGTTCACTGCAAGATGGAAATTAAGGCTTACGTTACCCAGGGCTGAAACTTCGCTGCTTAGAGAGCAGCGTCTCCCACTGAGAAGTGCAGTGCAACAGTGCATAACATCTCTGCTCTCCACTGGAGGAGGATTCACCCCCAGGATGAAGAGCCACCTCTCAGTATTCCCATGAAGAGAATATCCCCAGCTGCAGGGCTTAATGAGAGACTTCCTACCCTTGTGATTTTGGGCCTGGTGGCAGCTGTCTTTGAATGACCCCAGTTTCTGTCTCATTGCCACTTGAAACAACATGGCATTTTCCAAACCTAGGTGGGTGATCTCTGACACCTTGTCTTTCTTTCTGGGGGAGGGACAATATTTTGCAATCAGACACTAGGCAGGTGATGCTGGCAATGGAGAAAGGAAAAAAGTTCTTATCAATCGTAACCCAAAGTGCTAATCAGATCCAGATCTGGACACTTCTTCCAAGCTTCACTCCTAACAACATCTCCCCAGCATAAAGAGCTGCAGACTCGCATATACAGTGGCTCCATTACCAGCCCAGCCTCACGCTGGCTTCTTATGTCTACCTGGTGGACTTTACACACACACGCAGGCAGAATCGATGATTGCTGAAATCAGTGTTTGTCTTCTTCCCTGTACCTGCTAGAGGGGCAGGATCCTTCCATTTCTCCTTCCTTCCCCATCCTTTATGGTACTGGTTCTTGCTGGGCAGCGCAAAGCAGTTTCCCTGGGGTGCCTGTGGCTGGGAGAGGAGGAACACCGGTGCTGTCCCTGAAAGCAGCTTTTGCACTTGCAAATCATGTTAGAGATGTAGCTACTTTTCTTCAGATCAGGTCTTATACAGGAAGTGAGTGCACAGGTCCCTGGCTGGTAAAAACTCTCACTATGTATTTCCCCCAGCTGCCCTTCCCACTTGTCTCCACTCCAGAGGAGGGGACGTGCCTGACCTACACTGAAACATCCTGGTATGGGCAACCAAGTTCCTCCCCAGCCTGAGCTTACACCTGTGAGCATAACAGGAAAATAAAAATCCTTCCCTCCTGGTCAGCACACAGGGACAGCTGCTGTGATTGCACTCCCAAAATGCAGGCAGGGAAGGGCCAATGCAGGCAGGGAAAGGATGCAGAGGTCATCTCATCTCGCGCCCTTTGGCAGCTGGAGAACACAACTGAGCAAAAGCATTCCTGAGCTCCCTGGAGGCTGCCGGGATCAGCCCAGACAGAAGGGAGATTTCACCACCCTAACGGCAAACAGCTCATTTATGTTCCTGTCACAGGCACAGCCCCCCAGCATGGGGGTGAACGACCCCAGCCCCTCGTCACAGCCCCACGAGGGTGGGCAGTGGAGCCGGCCCAGGCGCGATGCCCGAGGCAGGGGTCACCGCTCCGGACCACCGCCCCGGTGAAGTCAGGCGGTGATCTCAGGCGGCCGCCCAGCCCGAGGCCGTCTGGCACCCACCGGAGGAGAAACAGCCAGGACCGGGGATGCAGGCTCCAGCCGGTCCCTCCGCTAGCCCAGGGCGTTGGCTGCTGGAGAGACAGCTGCAATGTGCCTTGGACTTTCGACGAACTTTTGTGCTTTGGTGGGGACTTGACAGCAGGCTGGCGTGGCTGGTCTGGTGGGGACTAGTGAGGGAGCACGCTGGTGGTGCTTGCAGGCGATGAGAGACTGGGAGGAGACACCACACACTGAGAAGGACAGAAAAACAGCAGCCCTGCTTGGACTGCCACCCCACCTCCCCCAAGTCCTAGAAATGTGCAACAAATCTGTGTCAAATAACGCCCATCCACTAACACAGAGGTGTTGGGGCTTTCCTGCATGGTTCAACTCTATATCTAAGTCATTGCAGAGATGCTGTACCCTCCAGCCCACCACTTGTATTGGGTGCCTATTTTAGAGTAGAACGACATTTCTGTGGAGGCTCCTGTCTCTCCTGTGACTCCAATGGTCTCACTTAGGCCTCCAAAGGTCTGAAGTTAATAAAGATAAATCCCACCACCTCTTCAGTACTGGTCCCCTTGCAGCCTGCAGTGCAGCTCTCATCATCAGCAATGCCATTTAACAGGCACAGGGGCAGTGTAAGAAAACCCAGACCCTATTTCCTTCACTGGGGATTAGGTACCTCAATGGCTGTCAAAGGCAGCAAATCACCTTTGTCCCCTACCAAAGACGTATGATCAGGGTCCAAATAGTCCATGGCTCAAAAGCCACACGAGCTTTTGGAAGAGAGCTCTGGGCTATCCCAGTACCTTAAATCCCCGTGCCAGCATGGTGAAAGCTGCTGGGACCTCACTCTCTTGTCCTACAGAGACACCTTTAAAGAGAAGGAAACCAAGCTCAGAGGGCAGCCAGAGGGCTGGATGGACTCAACCCTAGGTTAAGACTTAGCTCGATTCTAATTAAGCCAAGGCCCAGTAGGATGCGTGGGAACAGCTCAGGAATACCTGAAGAGCCTTGGAAAGCATGGATGGATGGATGGCAGAGGGATGTGCTATACTGTGGCCTTTTGGTTTTTAAGTTTTTGTTTGGGCTTTTCCGAACTAGCCTGGAAGACCAGCTCTTTCTCAGGAGATTTCTGTCTCCTCAGCAGAAACCTGCGGATGCAGATTCTGCTGCATCAGCCAGAGCTCACCTGCAGAGCGTGAATATCAGGTGCTTGGGTTGCCCCCAGGTTCACATAGGATTCATGGGAAAGGGAGATCATGGTCCTGATGACCTTGGTGTCCTCATACAGAGCTGGATGGGGGAGAAATGCAGCTCAGCATGTGGGAAAGGAGCGCTCAAGGGAACCAGCTCATGTTTTGGTCTGCTCTGGAAGCACAGGGCCTATCTGTAGGAATGGATCTCCGGGTCAGCACCACTTCTCTGCAGTGCCAGCAAGCGCCACAGAGGTGGGAGGGGTATGGCTATGGGAACTTGAACCGTAAGAAAGGATCTGTGTTACTGTATGCCAGATGATACTTTCCTGAGCTGCCCTTCCTTGCTGCAGCCACAAAATAAAACTCCCTGGGAGCAACTCTCTAGAGCAAGGAGAAAAGCAGGTTTAGAGATGGGGAGCTCCATGATGTAAGCTCCTTCCCTACACATTGCTAGCAGTAAGTTCAGCAGGCTCCAAGCAGAATCTATGCTGTGCTGGAAGAGCCAAACTTGGGCATCAGCTAGAGGGCTGGTCTGATTCTGACCTGGAATGTACAACCAAGGACTGTGTCTCACTGTTGCCTTTGACCTGTCTCTTTTTCTCCAGAGAGCTCCTAAATCTGGCTATGATGAGTTCTCAGCAGAGGCCTGGGATGCAGAAATGCATATATAGGACACACCAAGTTCAGGTGAAGGTCTGGGCCTCTGTGCGGGACCTGCAGTGTGGCCAGAGACATGGGGATCCCAGCAACAACCACTTCGGTGCAAGATGGAACCTAAAATGATTAACCAGTAAAAGAATTGGGAGACTTCCCAGAGTTTCTCCCTCCGGTAAGATGATGAACAAGCATCCAGCCATTACAATTAAATTATGCCGACAGGCACCATCTTGCAAAATTGCAGGCACTCTGTTTCTAGATAGCTGCTTGTATGAGCCTGACATTTCCTGAACAAAGTTAGCTTCCAGGGAACTGAACTGGCAAGTGGAGGGGAAGGAAGTATTTCAGGATTAGATTTACATCAAGAAGCTCCTGTTGCTGATGCACTGATGATAGGAAGATAAAACATATTTCCTTCATATCATCTGGAGACTACAGATGTTCCCCATTCCATATGCTGAAACTGCAGGAGAAGCTGAGAGCTGAACTGAAGAACTACCCAGAGAAATCTAAATAAATCATCTTTCAGTATTATAGTGACCAAGACATATTTTTCCTTCCTGGAAAGGATGAAATCATTCAGTCTTTCCTAGTCTTGCATCTTTTCCAACAAAGCCACCCTAGTGGCAGATTCCATCAGTTGTAATAAAGGTGGCAAAACCCCCACGAGACTGTCAAGGAACTAAGAGCAGAAACAAAGGAAAACTCAGGGAAGAAGATTCCATGACCGTCTCTGCCTAACTGACAGTAAAGGTGAGGAAACTCTGACAAGCATAGTTTAATTGTTTGCCAGCAGTTTCTCCATAGGGTTCATCTGTGTCAAGAAGACAGGAAAACCCTTCCTAGAAAACAAGCATATTTTCAGGTCTTCTGAATGAAAACAACAGAGTGCAAACTGCTCATCTGGCCACCAGGTGGGAAGGGAGCACCTGTAAAAAATCTTGCTATATCTCTAGGAATGAAGGGGCTGTGATGGGTTGAAAGAGAAGCCTAGTAGCATCCATCAGCTGTCACTGTGTGAGAGAGAAGGGGATAAGGAGGACTTTTTCAGATGGAGGTACCTCAATAGCAGTGGGAGGGGAACATCCCTAGGGAAGAGCTTTGCCCTCTTGGACTAAGTGGGGCCTGTCTCCAAGACTCTGCTGAAGGTGGGTGTCAATATACACAAGATGTCAAGAAACCTGATTTGAAAGCGGGATGCTGCCAGGACGCTGATACTATTCTGATCAGTGAAATGCAAATGTGACAAATCATAGTAAAGCAAGGTGCTAAAATGACCTTAGAACTATAACCAGGAAGAGTGTTGCTGGGTGCCATCAAACACTGAGATATCACTGTGGATATTGTAGCATTTTACCCTGAAAACAATGTGCAATTAAGAGGACACCTCTATATTAAAGGAGATGATCCCAAGAAAATGTTCTACCAGAGATGTAGCCACTACAGTTTATGCTAAGCTCTCTGGCCTGCTTATGGATGACAGTGGCTTTTGCCTTTTAGTCAGGATTTTGAATCTGATTTAGTTTCATATGGAGCAACTGGCCTACTGGAACTGAGTCTGGGAGAGGCTGCTTCCACTGGAGGCTGGTGGTCTCTGTCACAAGATCCATCCTCATTTATGTTATTGAGGGTCTCTGTCAGCCTCAACAGCAGCCAGTAACTGAAGAGCCCAGAAAGCCAAATCCTTTGTCTGACCCAGAGAGAGGTGAAGGCACATCAGGTGGAGTCTGAGATGCACCTGTATGAGGTGCTGGATGAGAACTGGTCCAACACAATTATTTCAGGCTGTGATTGCAACCTCCAGCCTACCCTGAATTAATTTCTAGGCCTTCAGCCTGATTTTCACAGCTCTGTCTTAAACCAGATGGAAAAGATCTGTGAGATCATCCATTGCTCATCTTTGTGTCAGCACCAGATGACACATCGTCACATGTACTGTCCAACCTGACTTTTATGAGCTCCAAGTGATGAGATTTCCACCTCTGCCCTCATGACTCCTTTCTACTCTTCTACTTTTAATTTCTCAGTCTACCTAAGTAGTACCTCAAAAAAGTACCAGAAGTTTGATGTTCACACTCTGACAATACTGATAAACAGAAACTTGCTCAAGCTGGATCCTAACGAATGACTCTTGCCTCTCCTAGCCATCACCCTCCCTGCACTGTACCACTGCATACACTAACCAATTTCCTTTGGTCCAACATGATGCAAAGATGCTTTTCAATGTTAAAAAAATATCATGGGTCCCTTGATGGAGTGAAGGGTGCAGACCTCCATTCTGGGGGTCTGACACTCCAAGAAAGACAACTGATCACCCTTTGCCACAGGTCCAGAGCCTTTCTGGAATGATAAAATCCCTGTTGCACTTTGTTGTATATCCTGCAACCTCAAGCTGCCTCTGCTATTACAAAACCAAATAACCAAAACTGTGAAATGGTTATGAAATGATGAGGTAAAATTTCACCCATTTTTGCTGTTTCTTCAGGAAAGCAGGAGTCACAAATGAAAGCAACGTGACTGTATGTCGCTTTGTGTTTAGACATTGTTAAGATATATTAAGACATACGTGTCACTGCAGCAGCATCATAACTGACTGCTGGACAGGTATAAGACATGCAGTCCCTCCCTAATAAAACTTTATTTCTTTTCCAGCATCTCATTTAAATTAAAAAATAAAAGCCAGATTCCATAGTTGTTCACTGGGTTATTTAATGACTAGATTTTCATCATTAGTCCAGTGCATAACATCTGATTTCTTAAGGATGAATAATAAATGGGTCTGTTGATTTAATTGTCTTGTGAGGATGAATCCCACCTGAATTTGGAAAAAGAAAATATTTCTACTGATTTTCTACAAAAAGAATTACAACTATTGGCCAACTTTGCCCCCAAAGTTACCTTTAAGATACATTCCCTCTCTTGTTTAGCCAGGGGATCATTTCCTTAAGTATCTGTCAGGATTACCTTCTTGCCCTTAAATAGCAACCAGACCAGTTATCTCCATCAACATAACAATTATCTCCATCAGTGAGCCAGCTGTGTTCATCCAACAAGCAAACAAACCAAACTGCAATAACAGCCCTCAAGGCAGGCAGCTGCTAAGAGCTTTCCAATCCTACTGAAGCCAACAGCGTCTTCAGCCTCACGGTCCTTTGAGGACTGAGGTAGCTGGCTCCCACGAAGGGGATTAGGTACCTGAAAGCCTGTGATGATCTGGGCCTAGTGAAAAGGTGCTCAGCATCTTGCAGGATCAAGCCCTGACAGGCTAATAGGGAATGATGTGCCAGTTTGCTGTTGGGGGGTATTGACACTCCATTTCCACACTGAGTGTGAAGGAGACAGTACTAAAAGGGTGGAGGCACAGGGAAAAAATATGGAAATAATTTTAAATGGAGAATCAGGGCAATACTGAGAGCAAGGCTTTATGTAAACACACGTAAGTGCCCACCAACTCCATAGTCATAAATTTAAGATGCCTCCTCAAGGTTTAGCCTGTTGACCAGGGTCTCTCTGCAGCCAGGGAAGCTTTGACCTTCCTGCAGGCATATTTTAAGGCAGGTGTGGTCTCCCAGTCAGAAGCTGATGGTTAACAGACATGGACTGATGGGCAGTCAGTGCACTTGTCCTGGAAACATCATAAATAGGAGATCCATCCAAACATACTGAGAAATGGCTTCCTTGAGAACAAATCTGCCCACATCACACCACCAAGAGTCCCAAATTTCTGCAAACATATTATGCTGGCTTCTACTAGGATTAACCGTGAGCTGTGGATTGACTTAAACACTAAGCAGTCCCCTCAGATCGCTAGCATCAAAGAGCCACCTCAAAAACAACATCTTGCTGAGAGTTGCCTTGGCTACCCAGCTGAAGGAATAGAGTGTCTCATGGGGGTTGAGTGGTAAGAGGATGAGGAATTTCACTCCTTCATGACCAGATGTGACCCTTCCTGGATGGGCAGAGTCATCAAGTATGACCCATGCCCAGTTATCTCAAATGGGCTGTCCTGGGACCCGTGAGCGCTGGCACAGCTGCCACCCCACTCTGTGAACCATGGGCAGCCCTGCACATCACCCCGGGGAGACCTGGCATGGAGGGTCTCACTACATGGGCTTGGGGGTCCAGGTCTTAAGAGGACTGGAGCATGTGGGCCAGGGTTCCCTCTCCTCCTTGACAGCAGAGCCTCCTTGTGCTTTTGGCTACACCTTGTCCTGAGGATAAACAGATGATATCAATCTTTTCACCTGTAAAAAATCTCCTTACAAATGACTAGGTGGTTATTATGCTGGCTGCCAGTGAGTTCACCCAGGCCAAACTCTTTGGATCATCTTTGACCTCTGCATGCACAATGTCTTCAAGTCCTGCTTTCTTCTTCCTCCTCAATGCTAGAGGTTGTTTCTCCTGCTGTCAACTTGCCACATTTCGGAAAATTTGACATCTTTTCCCAATTCAGTTCTTCTTTCCCACTTTCCCAAAGACCAGTTGCTGCTGCTTGGGAGAAGAGAAGACTGCAGGGTCCCAGTGCACTCAGTGCCCCTGGTGCTGTCTCCTCTACCACTGTCATCAGGCACCACTCTCCCTGACATGTATGCTCCAGCCCTGGCATGAGACAGGAGGATTGGCTGCCCTCTGCAAGCCACAACCTATCTGCACCTTCACTGCAATATCTCTCAGGGTATTTAATGAATGTTTAATGAATGTAGACTTAGTTCATCGAGAAAAACCCACCTCCAAACACAGGGAGTGAGTTCGGATCCACACAGCTGGCTGGGTGGAATATCTTATCTCCTGCCTTGCCTCCCCTTGTTTGATATGCTCACCTGCAGCACCTCATTTCTCAGCCCTCAGTGGGAGGATGGAGTAGGCCTGTCTGTACAACAGTATCTGATCTTGACAGCAAAATACTGATGTGCCAGTCATAAGCAGAACTGCTGCACCTAGGAGAGGCTTGTGTGTGCTACCTGGAAACCATTCTGTCCCCAGAGACAAAAATGCTTCGTGTGTGTGTTTGCACACATTAAATGTTTGTGCAGGTGTGTGGGGGTGTGTGAACACAGGTACATGTGTGCGTATGCTCACATGCATATCTTCCTTGTGCATATTAATCCTGCTGTTCTGCAGCCCACATCGAGGGGCAGGTGTGTTCCAGCCAAATTCTGCTTTTATTTATGTCCGATCTTGAATTTGCACTACTAAGTACTTGGTAAAAAAACAGGCAGGATTTGCTGTGCCATAGGCCCTTTTATCTCCCTTGTGACCTAGCACAGGTGAAATGAGCTGCAACTGTTCTTAGCAGCTTACCTCACTGAGCAGAGGAGGATGAGCCCCAAGGGGCTGAGGTTCCTGGCCCCTTCCCAGCCTGCTCCCAGGCTTTCCAGTTTGGGTGAAGAGCACTGGGAACTGTCACCGCTATAACAGTTCCCACAGCTGCTCCTACATCTGCGATGCCGTTTGATCCAGCATGGGCAAAACTTCCAGCGGACGTTAGGAGGAAGCAGAGCACCATGTTCTGTGCGAGGCAGTGCCCTCTCGCTGCTCCTCCTCCTCTCCTTCCTCCCTGACACACATATGTCAAACTACGCGACCAAAAGAAACCAGAGGCTGTCCCAAAGCTGGCACAAAACGTACCCGAGCTCTCCTACCCTTCTCTTCCGAGCCTGGCAGGACACCTCACCTCGCAGTCATGCAAATGCTTCCAACCACAGAGGACTCTGCTCACACCACCAACATGCCAAAGCTGCAACGGTCATCTGGGCACAGGATGCTGGCGCTTAAATATCGACATGAGGAGGCACGCAGCCTTCTTCCAGCGTCCCTCAGGTTTGCAGAGGCTCCCATTTAAGGCCAGCCCCTGTTCTCTGCTGTGGTGGTACATGCACTGCAGGGGCTCCCTTCGTTCACCTGGAGCGGGTCCAGCCTGAGAGCGCTGCACGGGGGCTCGGGACCCGCTCTATCACTCATGCACGCACGCACGCATGCACAGAGCCACGTCTCTTCTCCGGTGAACTCTGCTGGCACCCAGCAGGAATTTCATTTGTATCAACTACTTAATATTCTTGCTCTTTCCTTAGAAACCAGGCTGCTAAAAATCTTTCCAGCCAAGGCCCCTCCTTTCCTGTTTGAACCACCCCATCCCTCCCTCCTCCATACACACACACCGCAGAAACCCAGCTCTCTTGCTGGCACCTGATAGATTTCACACTTTTTTTTTTTTTCATATTGTTATTGTTGTTGAAACTTCAGATCAAAAGGAAAATGGAGATTTTCCTGTTTCGAATCTGAGGCTTTGCAGGCCTGTTGCTACTAGCTTTTCTCCTTGACAGCTCGGGAGCTGCTTTGCACAAAAGACCTTCCGCTCAGCACCAGCCGGGTCCCTCCCTGAGCGACACATGTTCGCAAGCCAGCGCGTCCCCAGTGCCCCGCTCCCACGACCCTTGCCCTAACCCCACCCTTGCCCTGGACCTCTGCGCAGGGCTGCCCACCTGCCCCGCCGCGTCCCCATCGCTCGCCCCTGAAGCCCCGCATCACCAAACGGGGAGCAGAAGAGCGCAGGAAGGGGAAACAAGGTTGGGGGAATATGTCAGGCAGGGATAAAGGACTGCACTGAACATGAGCCGCAGGAAAGTCGGGCTCGGCAGCACTCCTCCTCCGCCTACTTCCAGCTGACGCAGCAAAGACGATTTTCTTAGGGCTAGTTCTCCAACCCCCCCTTTCCCCTCCTGGTTATCGTTGGCTCACGGTTTCGTGAGGAAACTTGCCAAGTCTTGCTCGCTTTCTAGAAAGAGAGCAGGAATGAGAGAGAGGAGAAGGAAATATTTGACAACCTTTGTTTTTCCACGAGCCTTTTAGGGCAGCAGGCTCCAATCTGTGCCCTCCACTCCCCGGCGCTCGGCCTGACCTTGCTGTCTCAGCAGGAGGAAGTCTGGCAGGAGCACAGGGGAGAAAAATGGAAAGACGTGGTGTATTTCAAAGGAAACCTAAACAAAACAGAGAAAACCCAGAATCCTGCAGCCTGTGCCATAAATGAAGCTCATTCATGGTTTTTTACCAGGAACAGTCAATTACAGCCGTGATGTTTGGCTTTCAGTAAAGGACAGTGTCTGACTGTTGTGCCAGGAAGGACTACAGGGACCATCCCGTCAGTACCTACACATCCGCCTACTTAAAATGAGCCTTACCAAAGATCCCACATTTGCTTTAATTTCAAATCTCTCAGCAAATCTGGAGCACATTCTGCCCAGTAGCTCCAGTGTTTCTCAGTACCGCTGTGCCCAGCTTACAGATGAGGAAACCAAGGCATGGTACCCGGGAGCATCTTGTCCCCAGGCAAGACATCTGGTCTACATGAGAGCCAAGCCTGGCCTCCCAGGCTTGGGCTCCTGCAATACCGCTTGTTGAGTCTCCACCTCAAGTATAAGGAGGAAAGCATCTGCGATTTTAAACTTGGCCAGCACAAGCGCAGAAATAGATAGAAATGCAGTTTGATCTAGTCCTCACTGCTGTCACATAGTTTGTTTTGCAGAGTGCTCATTCTTTCTCAGTGGTTCGCAGCTCAGGGCCAATTTTGGTCATTGATAGATGGGAGGGCCAGGCCAGCTTCCCCAGCACACGGTCCCTGCACTGCTGGCCAAACTGGCAGAGGCCAGAAAGTTCAAGTCAAACTTCATTTCTTTCCTTGCCCTGTTGCTTAGAAACACGCCTATGAAAATATACTTTGTTCTCACACGCTACCAGTCGAATGCCAAGAGAGCTTTTTCCCTCTCCCGTCCTCAGGAATTTCTGATTTATTTTTTATTTCTTTTCTGCAATCACGCAAATCTCAAGAGGAGTCTGCTGGTCTCCCGTGGCTTCTTGCCCCAGCCTTTCCGATCCAGACTCATCTCCCGGCTGTGAATAAAACCCATCGAAAAGAGCCCCCTGCGGCACTCTGGGAGTCCAAACTGGAAGTGCAGGTAGTGCCAGGGGGTTGGTTTTGCAACAAACCTGCAACCTCTTTCCTATACCTCTCCTTGTTCATTCAATGGGTGCTCCTCATCCCAAGAAAACCAAAAGCAATGATATTACAAGGGGACGGGCCAAAGTTTTTACGCAAAACACCTGCTAAAGGACCACTTCGCTTGGGAAGAGTGATGCAGGTGGAACAAGAGGAGATTTGTGCTGGGAGCAAGCACCAAAGCTTTTTCAGGTGCCTTTGGTCTGCTCGGGGCACCCTTGCTATGGGTGAGAGGATTGGCCCTGCTCTTCCAGTCCCTGCTGGGTTTCAGCTGCATAGCACTGCCTTCCCGACCACACCGCCTGTCCCTGGCCACGCACACACACGCAGAGTAAATAAACACCGGGGTTGACGCGCACCAGGATACTTCGCATAGCTCTGCTGCCAGCGGGTTATTGCCCAGGGCTCCGCGGCTCCTGGCTTCACCCTCCTCCGCTCCCTGTGCAGGTCCCCTCCCAACCCTCACCCCTTTCAGCTCCCCTTCAGAAAATCAAGCTTAGCTTTGCTGTTTCTGGCCAATTTTAAGGGAATTTGGACATTTGTTGTCATTTGAGGGAGGGGCGAAGTTATACACACAGAATTTGGTTTTGCTCTGAAGGATGGAGTGTAGCAACACAACCACTGCCTGCAAGCAGCAAAGGGGAAAAATAATAAAAGCATCAAGATTTATTAGGTGCTAGAAAGGATAAATGGATTCCTATTGCACGAGCATAAGCAGAAGCTTGCGAACAAGCAAGGATTACTTTTTCATGGACCAAAAAAAAGCGGGGGGCTTGTTTCTCCTTTCCCCAGTCTCCTGGACATGCAAACACCCTCCATGCCTCCCCTTCATGCTTTGGCAGAAATAGATGTATTTGGAGGAGTATAGGGAAAGTGTTCTTGCACAAGCCAGAGGATCCAGAAATGGGAGTTAAAACCAGTGCCAAAGTGAAGGACTGCTTTCTTTCCTGCTTTTGTCACGTGCAAGGTGCAAACATTTCAGAAGCTTGGCTTTGCACTGGTGTTACCATGCCAGCCTTCATGCTTGCTTTTAACCTATTCTTTCTGATTATTAGCAACACCATCATTATATTTTGCAATCGCAGATTCCCCTTCCCTAATGCACCTGCTCTCTTCACCTCCCTGGGCTAAAACCCACTGCCCGACTAAAGACGGTCAGCAGCGGGCAGCCAGGAGGAGCAGGCTGCAACGATCCAAGGAGAAAGCAGGAGACTGAGCAACAACCTCAGCGGTAGTTGAGGACTTTGGGGATGGGGCAGATGGTTGCAAAGAGGTGCCCTGCCCTCCCCAGTATCTCAAGCTGCAGAGGCCAGCTTGGGCCCCAAAGCGAGGTGGAGGATATGGGTGAGAAAAAGGGTTCAGGGAGAGGGTGAAAACAGGGGTGCAGGAGACATGCAGAGAATGCAACTGGGGAAGGACTAGGATGCAGCTGTGACTTAAGAGGGTGCATCTGGGAAGTGGGAGAAGAAAAGCTTTCCTATTGGGGATGGGAGAACCCAGAGGTGATGATGGAAGGGGAGTGGGGGAGGCTGTGAGATGATGCAACAGGAGGTTTGACCAGGGCATGGATGGAAAAAAAAGGATGGGAAAAGCAGCGGGGGGCATGGAAGAACAGCTAGAGGGATGGAAGCGTACAGCAAAGACGGAAAAGCAGCTGGGGGGGG